TGTGTGTGTGTCTGTATCTGTGTGTGTGTGTGTGTGTCTGTATCTGTGTGTGTGTGTATCTGTGTGTGTGTGTGTGTGTGTGTTCAGACTGTCGTGTTGATAAATGATTGTTACTCTAGTGTTCATGAACGTTGTGTTGCAGCCTCATGGACTCTCTGTTGTCCTAACGTCACCGGCTGTCTTCAGCTTCACAGCACCGATGTGTCCAGAGCGCCACCTGGAGGCTGCAGAAATCCTGGGTACTTGAATGCAGCATGCAGTAACCTCATCTCTGTTAAACATTTAAGTTCATCGGTGCTGCCTCTGTGATGTGTTCAGGTGCACAGGTACAGCAGGTGAAACGGAAGGACGCCGGCGCTGTCCTGGCTGACCAGCTGCGTCACTTCCTGTTTGATCTGCAGGTGGAGGATGGGCTCGGCGCCGTCGGGTACAGCAGAGAAGATATCCCGGCGTTGGTGAAGGGGACGCTCCCTCAGGTGAGCCATTTACCTGCAGCTTCAGGTGTTCCATGACGCGTTCATGCCTGTGTTCATGTCTAACCTGAACAACACTTTGCTTTCAACTTCAACTTTATACAGTAGGTGTAGCCCGATTTTAGATGTAGCCCCTGATTTTAGATGTAGCCCCTGATTTTAGATGTAGCCCCTGATTTTAGATGTAGCCCCTGATTTTAGATGTAGCCCCTGATTTTAGATGTGGCCCCTGAATTTGGATGAAGCCCCTGATTTTGGATTTAGCCCCTGATTTTGGATGTAGTCCCTGATTTTAGATGTAGCCCAATTTTAGATGTGGCCCCTGAATTTGGATGTAGCCCCTGATTTTGGATGTAGTCCCTGAATTTGGATGTAGCCCCTGATTTTGGATGTAGTCCCTGATTTTGGATGTAGTCCCTGATTTTGGATGTGTCCCTGATTTTGGATGTAGCCCCTGATTTTAGATGTAGCCCGATTTTAGATGTGGCCCCTGAATTTGGATGTAGCCCCTGATTTTGGATGTAGCCCCTGATTTTGGATGTAGTCCCTGATTTTGGATGTAGCCCCTGAATTTGGATGTAGCCCCTGATTTTGGATGTAGTCCCTGATTTTGGATGTAGCCCCTGAATTTGGATGTAGCCCCTGATTTTGGATGTAGTCCCTG